GCAGTTTATTATACTTTAAAAATAGAGTTCACAGGCATGAGTTGTGATTACGACACTCGTATCAAATACAGTAACTTAGGGTACAATGGTACATCGGTGCTTTAAGGCCAAAACCCATCAATGACACATCCTAAAGCTTCATTCGACAAACCCTCTTTCAAGCATCATCACACAGGTAAACTAACCAGCAATAGTATAAAAAGCGTGCCGGCCTTATACAGGAGAACAATAGCAGCATCTAAGAGGTCAGATAGAGACAACCTTACAAGTATCAAAAGAAGATAATTCTTTTTTTTTTTTTAAAAAGAAAACGTTTTGTACCAGAGCCGGGGCCACCAGGCCAAATGCTACTATTGCATCGAACTCCAATGTTCTGATAACCCCTTTTGCTGGCAAATCTAAAGCCTTTGAGCTTGGGACGTGATGAAGTACAAGGCACAACTGAATTCCAGGACAAGAGATGTAGAGGAAGTTGGGGTTTGGACAAGGAACAAGAACATGGCGCGGGAGGCGCTGAAGGTGAAGCCCCACTCATCATCTTGTCCCAAATCCTTTATCGCTCCTTCTGTCTTGCTCTTTTATCCCGTCAATCACAGCCAAAATTCCGCGCATTCTCCCGGGTGAGGTGAACATTTTTTTAATAAAAACAATTCATAAATTAAAAGGAAAAGGTGCACACTCCGCACCTAATTTCTGAGTGGTGCAATTATTGCTGTAATTTTTTAAATTTGGTGTAAATTTTTGGGGAAATGGCAAATAAAGACCCTTGAAAATATAAAATGGCAATTTGGGTACTTCAATTCATAAAATTGCTATCAGAGACCGGGTCCTAGATTGCAATTATGAAATGAAGCCTAAATGACTAAAATGCCCTTCCTTTTCTCTTTCTTCCAGCACCTCATTTCTTTCTCTTTCCTTCTTCTCTTCCTCTCTCTCTTTGTCCTACTCTCCCTCTCTAGAAACGTAAATTTCTGACTTCCTTTCTCTCTCTCTCTCTCCCCTCTTTCTTCTCTTTCCTTCTTCTACTCTCCTTCGATTTCATTCTTCTTCTCCAGAACCGTGACGTTCTTCTATGTTTTTCCCAACCCATTGATTTGCAATGGGAAAAATGAAAACATGTTAACCGTGTAGCTTCCATATTTAATTTTCTGCAAAACATGTAATGCTAATAGCCTAATATAGTACTCTTCATATAAAAGCTCTCATTCTCCATAATCTCTCTTTATTCTACAACCTCATCTCCTACTGATATACTCGAATTAACAACTGTTACCTCCTTGCATTGTAAAAAACTGGTTGTTGTCAAAGAATTCTGGAAATTATCATTTACGAAGAGAAATGTAAACTTGTATAAAAACCTTATCGGAAGTGATAAGTTCACTATGACAAATGATAAGCTGAGTATGATAAATGACAAGTTCTCATAAGGTTTTCATACAATTTCAAATTTCTCTGTTAAAATGACTAAATTTTCATATTGATTTATGAAATGACAAGTTTACTATGGCAGATGACAAGTTGAGTTTGACAAATGACAAGTTCCCATAAGGTTTTCATACAATTTCAAATTTCTTTGTTAAAATGACTAAATTTTCATATTGATTTATGAAATGACAAGTTTACTATGACAGATGACAAGTTGAATTTGACAAATGACAAGTTTCCATAAGGTTTTATACAATTTCAAATTTCTCTGTTAAAATGACTGAATTTTCATATTGATTTACGAAGTGAAAAGTTTACTATGACAATAACAAGTTGGATATGACAAATGATAAGTTCCCATAAGAATTTCATACAATTTTAAATTTCTCTGTTGAAATGACTGAATTTCCACATTGATTTACAAAGTGACAAATTAACTATGACAAATGACAAGTTGAATTTGGCAAATGACAAGTTTCCATAAGGTTTTTATGCAATTTCAAATTTCTCTATCAAAATGACAGAATTTTCACGTTGATTTACGAAGTGACAAATTTACTATGGCAAATAACAAATTGAGTTTGGCAAATGACAAGTTCCCATAAGGTTTTCATACAATTTCAAATTTCTCCATTAAAATGATTGAATTTCTACATTGATTTACGAAGTGACAAGTTTACTATGGCAAATAACAAGTTGAGTTTGGCAAATGACAAGTCCCCATAAGGTTTTCATATAATTTCAAAAAAATGAATGAATTTGCACATTGATTTATGAAGTGACAAGTTTACTATGGCAAATAACAAGTTGAGTATAGCAAATGACAAGTTCCTATGAGATTTTCATACAATTTCAAATTTCTTCGTTAAAATGACTGAATTTTCATATTGACTTATGAAGTGACCAGTTTACTATGGCAAATGATAAGTTGAGTTTGGCAAATGACAAGTTCCATCAGGTTTTCACACAATTTCAAATTTCTCTGTCAAAATGACTGAATTTTCACATTGATTTACGAAGTAACGAGTTTACTATGACAAATGACAAATTGAGTATAGCAAATAATAAGTTCCCATAAGGTTTCATACAATTTCAAATTTCTCTGTTGAAATTAAAATTTGCAGATTTCTGACAGCAACTACTTCTGATAAGCAGTAAATGACAAGTTTAGTAAGATTAATGACAAGTTCAATGAGTTGAACCCCTTGTACAAGGAAACTAATTATGAGCTGCACCTCATGCAATCTTGAGTCTTACATTCCATCATAAAGTTGACTTCCCTTCCTCATTCACATGCAATGAATCATCCAAGCTTTCATTCTTTAAGGAGGAGTAGATTATGAACTTGTCACCATCAAATTGAAATGTATTTCCTAATCTAACCATAGTCCTCAGAATTTCTTGACACCTTGTTCCATTTGAAAGAATTGTCCTGTACGCAAGACAAAATCCAATATGATCTTGGTATGTTTTCTGGGTATGTACACACAAAAAAGTTCAAACTATATATAAAAAGACACATACACATTAAAATAGCCTTTGACTTTCTCCATGAAACTGATAAATTGACTAATGAAAGTTAATCATGAATTTTCATTTCTTGATTTCCTCCATAACTACCTGACTCACAAAGACAATACCAAAGACAAAGTAAAGAAAGAAGGAGGAATTCAAAATTAGTGTAATTTTTGGTATAGTTTTCATAAGTTATGGTAAGATAATTATTAGATATGCATAAAGCCCTGTTTTAGACAGTAGAAAAACATAATGAATTGATAATGTTCTGATATATTCAAGGTGATAAAAGATGAATCAAATAATGTTGCGGATTTGGTACTTAGTTCAAGCAGGGGCAGAATATCACACTCTGTAAGCATTACACATAATCTTAAACAAGCATAAAACAATGCTCCAACATGCTTTGCTACACTGTTCCTTCTCTCTCCGAGACAAGGAATAATAATTTCAAAGTAGATTTTCTATTCAAAATCCAACAAACCATCGCAATATTATTTTGTTACAAGAGATAATAGTACAAGCTGAAACTTTACCAAATATTCTAAGGTACAGATCCTTCTTCGCCGCACCAAGTTTGTGGCTATGGAAGGTGGAAATGGAGATAGGGTTTTGAGCTATGGTGGAAGAATCAGAACATAGCAGTGCCTTTCTCTTCCTCTAAATTCTGAAGTGAGAGACGTGGCTGAGGTGAGGACTAGAGTGCAATGCTTTGAGCTTGATTCAGTAGCAGCAAAGAGAAGGACGAAGAGAGAGAGAGAGAGAGCAAGAGAAGAAAGAAAAAGAGGGAGGGGATGAGACGGAAGGAAGAGAAAGGGAATGACATTTTTGACTTTTCTCCTGCATTTCATAATTGCAATTTAGGACCTGGTCTCTGATAGCTATTTTGTGAATTGAGGTACCCAAATTGCCATTTTATATTTTCAAAGGTCTTTATTTGCTATTTTCCCTAAATTTTTTCACCAAATTTTTTTAATATGACAGTAATTTGATTACTTTGTAAAAAATTATTAATAATTTAATAAAAGGAATCAAAATTATTAATTCTAACAGTTAAGATGAATACAAGTAAAAGAGTGCTTTTAGATAAATAAAAAAGCGACAAAATTTAAAAGATTATACCACCAAGAAAATTGTGGTAGGTGTATACATGAAAAATAAAATAAAATTGGGCTGTTAGTGCTGCTTTATCCTAAATGAGATTAAAAAGATAATAAACATGTTTTATAAAACGGCCGCATCAGGGTTAGGAAAAATAAAATATTATTTGAAATATATAAATAAAAACGGGAAAAAGAATGAGTCAATGTAATAACATTTCCGGTAATAACTTTTGGGTAAACGTATCATGTTGAGACGAAGGTAATGCTTTTTACAGTATTTTAGTTGAATATATTTGAAGCCAAAAAATAAGCCTGAAAGGGCTAAACATGAGGAAAAAGTGCCTCTTTGAAGTCACTTAAATAAATATATTTTAAATAAATTGAGATAAAATTCTTTTAATATACTTACTTTATATTTCCTAAATTATAATTAAAAAAATGTTTATACGAGTAAATAAATTTGGTTATAAAATATCAACAGATGTTCTCCTAAATCAAACTTTATAAAGTCTAATCTTATTTTTCAGGTTTGGTAAAAAAAAATATTTTATTTTTCAGGCATAATTTTATTTTTATCTTTTTAATAGTTTAATTTTAAATTTATCTTATTTCTCAGGTATAATTTATTTGTTATTTTTTTAGTGCAATTCTATTTATACCCTCAATAAAAAATTAGGGATAAAATTGTAGTTGAGAAACAAAATAAGGGTTAAAATTACATATTTACCCAATTTATAACTGCTTCTGGTTTTTTTCCCCCTCATCCAACAAAAGCTTAAAAACAGCTCTTTCATTTCATCATCGATCCAAAATTAAAGGTTTTTGGCTCGCAAGAAGCCCCTTTTTTGTTTGTAACCTTAAATTTGTTATTTTGTGATTAATGGATATAATGTTTCTATTTTTAAAAAAATCTAAACGGCGCCGTAATTGTTCGAAGCCGGACGCAGAGGCATCCGAAGGCCTACATGAGGCCTCAGTAGTTGTTTGGAGTCGGACGGAAGAGGCAACGAAGTAATCAGGTACGCACAAATCCAATCTTCATCAATCCCCGTTTTGCTTGGTTCTTCGCTCATTTTGCTTTCTACAACGAGAATTAGGAATATAGAGTATGTAAGAATAAATAATACAAAGCAAAATAATCTTCCTCTGTCTTTCATTCAAACACTGCGGGGACTCACCGCTTGCCATTCAGCACTCGTGGCATTTGCATCTGGATTTTGATCCTTGTTGCCATTATGCGTTGCTCTATGGTATTTTACCCTGGACGCATGCGATGTTTAAGCTCAAATGTGTTTCATTGTCAATGTTTAACCGTATTGTTATTCAAGTTTATGTTACCACGCAATTTGGGGAAAAAAAGATGAAGAAATGCAAGTATGGGTTCTATTGCTTCAGTATATTAATTGCTGTATTGCTAATTTGAAGCTTGATTGACAACGAGACTGAAACGGGTCACATAATGCGACTATACTGTAATAGTTAGACAAGCATTCCCGAGGGTCTTTGAAAGGAATGGAATTCCTATGTGCCTTCTGTGCTTCGTGAGCAGATTCAGATGGAAGCTTGCTATTATTCCATGTTATGCCATACTTTTCACACCTCGGTTTTTAAGGAGAACCTACTTGAATAATGAAATCTATATACCTGCTCCATCTTTTGTCATTGTCATATATTTTGGCTCGTATTATTCTGTAATGCTTCTTCGTTTTTTGTTTCCAGCACGTAAGATTTTCTTCAGCTTATGGTATTTACTAATGGATTGCGTGTTTCATTCAATTTCTTCTTGCTTCTTGTGGGTGTTTGCAGGTAATCAAATACTTATTAGGCGCTAAATAATAATGTGTTGACTGTGGAGCAAGAATTCTTATCGATGGCAGCTTGTGTGGCTTCCCCATTGTCTGTTAAGCTGCATATGCTGACGAGGCCTATTAGAGAGAGAGACCTTTCATTTCAGACTACAAATTTTAAGGCTATTCACAGGTTTCATGCTTCTCACTTCAGCCTTTTCCTTCTATGCATTTCATTTCTCTCATCTCCATTATATGTGCCCTCCTATTTTGTGTGCTAGCTCTAATTTTATTCTTCTTCCTCCTCCCCATAAAATCCCCAAGGAGACGAGTAAATGAGAATCCTTACTAAGCAATATGTAATACTATCTCTGACCCTAATTCACTTTGTCTTTCATATTTATCCCTTTTTTTAAAAGTAGTCCTTGTAGTAGTTGCACATGTTAAGTGTCATCAAATGGTAGTTTTAGCTAAAACACATAATTAGCAAGGGTATTCTAGGAAAGACAATACTTATTTACTACAAATAATTGACTTAACTAATTTTTTTAATCTCCCAAATTAGTCAACTAGGTCTTATATTAAGGACTAGAGATAGTAGTAAATTCTTATGGGCCCTAGAAAAATAAAGTGGTGAATTCTTATAGAATCATAAAAACTGAAAATGCAATATTAAACCTTAGTTTGTTGTAATAATATGTTCTTGCCAAAATGGACTATCTCAATTTTCCAGGTCTTTCTGTTTGAGTGGTTAATGGACTATAACAAATCCTTTGTTTAAAACAAAATAAACTCTCCTCAGATTGAACATTTCATAGCTCTAGAGCTTGATGTCTTTGTGGGGGATGTTAACCTTAATGAAAACTTCTATGAAAATTCAATTCGGGGCTGAATATGAAATGTTTTAGCATGGAAAATGGTTCAGTGGCACCTAGAGAAAATGGATTCACTTGAAAAGAAAAAAACTTGTAAAAGCAACCCTTTTCATTATATAATTATTAAATAGTAGTTCTTTCCTTGAATGCATCTTTTCAAATATTAATAAAAGCTAATAATATCTCTTTAATACACATTAAGGCTTAAGATAAACTTTTTCTTGAATCAGTACAAAATTTTAGTGATTAATGTTTTGTCACTAAAAATTTCAGGAGTAAATTTTCTGTGCTTAATTCTTCAGTTTTATCACATTCACTCGAGAGTATATTTGGCATCGACCAATTTGCTAGTTCACCATTTTGCTTTCTAATGCTAAGTTTGTCAGATGCTTTGCTATCATGTGGTTATACCAAATGGCTAGTCTTCATTCCCTTTTTGTGAACGGTATTACAAACATGGTAGGTTGACCCAACCTGTGAATACTTGTTGCAGAAAGAATTCCAGTAATGGCTGTAAATTCGGTCAATTCTCTTCATGGAGAATGTTTAAGCTAAGTGCTGGTGGTTCCAAAAATTTGAATATTAGTCCTCATCTTCGGGTGACCTCCTTGATGAGCATTGGCTTGGGGACATTAGTTGATTTTGATGGTGCAACGGCCTCTGATTTTGTGCCAGTTGTTGACCAGGTGCTTTTGATGGCCAGTATATTTCTCACATATATGGCTGGAGTAATTCCTGTTGAAAAATCTTATGCTGGTGGTCAAAAGATCATTTCTGATAAAAATTTGGTTGCTGAAACCTCAGACAATTCTGGTAGGTAAGGGTAAGCATGTCAATGATGACAAGGTTGAAAATTTTGTCATATTCATTAATGAAAAATTTATTTGTATTTGAACCTAGGATTATAGTCTGCTTTGGTTAGTTACTTGAGAAACTTTCTCTCTATTGCAGTGCTATGGAGAATACTTATCAACTTAATTCAAAGTATGTCTTGAATGTTGTGAGGGAAAAGCTTTTGAATTCTCTAAACACTTTAGAATACAAGGCTTATTCAGGAGACTGCATCATTCAATCTGTAAAGCGGCCCTTGAGTTTGAATGCTGTTGCTGAGGGTCCAAAGTTACGGTTGCTTTGGGCTGCTTTTGAGAAAATTGCGGAGGAGGCAGGCATTTCTTCATTTGTTTTACATATAAGAATGTTATCTGTGTGTTAGAGATATTTAAATGACGAGAGGAGCAATAATTCCGTTCTAATAAATGCTTCAAGTGTGTTTCCAACCTAACATATCTCTAATAATATTTATTTCTTGAGAAGAAGTATTTGAGTGCAAGTAAGCATATAGTTGGGATTGGAGATATTTCTTTTGTTATTTTATAGAAATTAATGATAAAAAATACAAAGTAACTGTACTCTGTATTTTTAATTATGTGCTTCCTCCTTGGACATAGATTAATTGCAATTTGAGACTGGGTAATTAATGCTTTATAGAGATTAAAATCATCAAATTTGTTTTTGAGCACATTCTATTGCTAATTAATATTCGTTTCTTTCTGATTTTCAAGATGCCTGTCATTGTAATAAAGTAGGCTAGGTATAGTTATAAGCTCTTTCTATGATCAGATGTGAACATTTAATAGCCTAGTTGATTTTGGCTAGCTAATGGAGCTTTGTCCTTGTTGGAAGACAAAGCCCAGGCCCTATAAGCTGTGTTTTATTTATTTCAGTCTGTTTTATTTATTTCAGTCTTTGTATTTTTTATTTTATTAATCTAATTAGGATTACTAGCCTGATTAGGATAGATCCTTTTTGGTTTTATCATTTATCCTAGATTTACCCTAGATTATCTTAGCTGGTTTAATATTGTACCTCATTACTTCAGAAATATTGAATAAAGCAGATTCATTCTCACCCTATTTACTCATGGTATTAGAGCGGGTAACTGCGACTAAGACCATCCAACTTGGTCGCACGAAGCCATGGTCTTGGGTGAGTAAAAACAGCAGTCTTGTTCGCGACTAAGACCAGACAAATTAGTCGCACGAAGCCACATCCCCGGTTGCATGAAGCTAGCAGCAATTTGGCCCATGAAACCATGTCTCAGGTCTAGAAGACTCAAAGTATATAACTGGGGAGGCTCTACAACCAAGGCCGGAAGACTCAAAGTATGATACTTGGTTTGCCAAAAACAATCTAGTGATGACCTGGTTATGTAATTTCATGACGGTAGACATCAGTGAAGGTTATTTACTTGCTAAGACAGCAAAAGAGATATGGGATGCTGCAAAAAGAACATACTCTGCTATGGAGAACACTGCTGCTTTGTTTCAAATAAAAAAATTACAAAGAGAGATGAAACAAGGAAGCATGACAGTGACACAATATTATATTGCTCTCACACGTTTGTGGCAGCAGTTGGACATGTTTGATGTCCATGAATGGAAGTGTAGCAATGATGCCCAACTATATAGGGAGCTGGTCGAAATAGAAAGAACCTATGAGTTCTTACTTGGTCTCATTGACATGTTTGATGATGTGAGAGGAAGAGTTATGGGAATGAAGCCGATGCCATCATTATTTGAAACTTTCAACATGGTCAAATGTGAAGAAAGCGGAAAACAACTTACCCTAAGTGTATCTGCATCCTCTGAGAGTTCGACATTGACAGTACAGGGCAACAATGGACCAAAACAAAGAGGAAAGAAGAATCCCAAAGGATGGTGTGATCATTGCAACAAAAATGGTCATACTAGAGACATATGTTGGAAATTACACGGCAAGCGAGCAAATCTGAAACAAAAACGAAGAATGGAGAGTAGGGAATACATTGCTGTGACTAATGAGAATGAGAAGAATGGAGAAACTCTTAGCCAAGAAGAACTACAAGTACTCAAACGAATTCTTGAGAAGCATAACAACTCAACCTCTACCCTTAAAGCAAATCTGGTAAAGTTAGGTAATTCCATTATAGCCCTAAACGCCATGGTAACCAGTGATAATACTTGGATTGTTGACTCTGGAGCTACAGACCATATGGCAGGTAATAAAGCTTTGTTCAGAATTCTAAAGTATTGTCATGAGAAGAACCTTAAAGTGAAAGTTGCTAATGGAATTTTTTCCAAAGTTTGTGGTGTTGGAATTGTTGAAATCTCAAATAACTTAGAATTACAGAATGTTCTATTTGTCCCAGTACTCGCATGTAATTTGCTATCAGTGAGTAAAATAACTAGAAATCATCACTGCCGAGTGTCTTTTGATGATACAGTTTGTGTTTCTCAGGATTTGACAATGAGGAGGAGGATTGGTATTGCTAAAGAATAGGATGGACTCTATTATCTTAAAGGCTTCAGGATCACCAATAAACAAGTGGGCAATGCGTTGTTTAGTTCAAATTTTTCAAATAAGGATGTATTGTTATGACACTCTAGGATAGGCCATCCCAGTTTTGATTATATAAAACACTTATTTCCAGCTTTATTGAATATAAGTTCAGCTCCTTTTCATTGTGAAACTTGCCAACTTGCAAAACAAACAAGAACTTCCTACTCCAAACAATCCTATAAACCAACTGCACCCTTTACCTTAATACATAGTGATATTTGGGGACCCGCAAGAGTTAAATCAACCTCTAATGCTAGGTGGTTTGTGACCTTTATTGATGATCACACCTGAGTAACCTGGGTATACCTAATGAAAGAAAAATCAGAAATTTTTAGCATTTTCAGAAGTTTCCACACATTTGTGAAAACTTTCCAAGGGACAATCAAGATTTTAAGAAGTGACAATGCAAGAGAGTATCTTAGCACAACCTTGAAAGAATTCCTTGACCAGCAAGGAATCCACCATTAGACCTCATGTACATACACCCCACAACAGAATGGGTAGCTGAACGGAAGAACTGACATCTCCTAGAAGTCACTCGAGCTATCATGATTGCCAAGAATGTTCCAAACCTCTTCTTGGGAGAAGCTATTCTCACATCAACCTACCTTATCAACAGAATGCCCACAAAGGTACTCAACTACCAAACTCCCACCCAAAAACTTCTTGAAACTTACCCAAATTCACCCCTAGTCTCAGACATTCCCTTGAAAGTATTTGGGTGTGTAGTATATATACATCGAGATGATGGCAACAAACTTGAATCAAGAGCTCAAAAATGTATCTTTCTTGGGTACTCCCCTACTCAAAAGGGTTATAAGTGTTATTGCCCTACAACAAGGAGAGTTTATGTCACTAAGGATGTTTTTTCAGAAGAAGATGCCTACTATCCTAAGTTGCCCATTCAGGGGGAGAAATTATGACACGGAAGAATGGCTAACCTTGGGTGCCCCTGCTCAAACAAACCTAGACAGCCTTGAACCAACCCAAGCCATACACGAACTTGAACCAAACAAGGCCATACACGAACTTGAACCAAACCAGGCTATACCCAAACCTGAAAACCTAAATCCACAAGCTTCTGAAAACCTAAATTTCCCTACTCAACTCGAACGTGAAAGTCCAAACCCACAAGCTTCCTCTACTGGACAAAATCACAACCATGTGGAAAATAGTGTTGAGACAGGGATGGACCAGGAGTATAGTACCGAATTAGATTCAGAAGAGCAGCAAAATAATAGAGTCCCTCACATTCCAAGGCACAACCAAATCTCCAATCCAATGTTAGATCCTAAGGAACTTGGGTGGCCAATTGCTCTCAGGAAAGGGGTAAGATCCTGTACTTAGCATCCAATCAGTAAATTTGTTTCCTATAATAAATTATCTCCTAGAATGCAGACTTTCATAGCAAACTTGTCCAGTGAGAGAGTACCCAAAACATTTCAAGAGGCTATTGGTAACTCTAATTGGAAACAAGCTATCAATGAAGAGTTGGAAGCATTAAAATAGAATGAAATGTGGAAAATCATTGATCTACCCCCAGGAAAGAAGACCGTGGGATGTTGGTGGGTTTTCACAATCAAGTATAATCCAGACGGAAGCATAAACAAATATAAAGCGAGACTTGTGGCTCAAGGATATACACAAACGTATGGGGTTGATTATCAAGAAACCTTTGCTCCGGTGGCAAAGCTCAACACCATTAAGGTCCTTTTATCAGTGGCAGCGAATCTAGATTGGCCACTCTATCAGCTAGACGTGAAAAATGCCTTTCTAAATGGGGATCTTAAAGAGGAAGTGTATATGAAGATACCGGTTGGCCTACAGAATTCAACAAATAGCTCAAAGGTTTGTAAACTCCAAAAATCATTATATGGGTTGAAACAATCCCCTAGAGCTTGGTTCGGGAGATTCTCAACAACTATGAAAGGAATGGTATACTCACAAGGGCAATCAGACCATACACTTTTCATAAAGCATACTGATGATCAAATCATCATCCTAATAGTGTATGTAGACGATATTGTGATTACAGGAAATGACGAAAGTGCCGTGAGAGAGCTAAAGAAATCATTGGCAGCTGAGTTCGAAATGAAAGATCTAGGATAGATGAGGTATTTCGTTGGGATGGAGATTGGTAGAACCAAACAGGGAATAAACGTTTCTCAGAGAAAGTACACACTAGATTTATTGCAAGAAACAAGAATGCTTGGAGCCAAACCTGCAAAAACTCCCATGGAGACAAACTGCAATTTAGAATACAAGAAAGATGGTATACCAGTTGACACTGGAAGATACCAACGGTTGGTAGGAAAGCTCATTTATCTGGCTCATACACGGCCAGATATCAGCTATGCTATGGGAGTTGTAAGCCAGTTCATGAATCAACCGCAAGAATAGCATATGGAAGCAGTGTATAGAATTCTGAAATATTTGAAGATGAATCCAAGGAAAGGATTATTCTTCAAGAAAAGAGAGTTTAGAGGAATAGAAATTTACACGGATGCTGATCATGGGCGGTCCTTGCTAGATAGGAGGTCTACTACTGGATACATCACTTATTTATGGGGAAATCTGGTTACCTAGAGAAGCAAGAAGCAACTAGTAGTTTCCAGAAGCAGTGCTGAGGCAGAACTAAGGGCATTGGCTCTTGGGGTCTGTGAAGGGATTTGGATAATTAGAGTTCTAAAGGAATTGAGACTGATGCATATTGGACCAATAAAACTTTAGTGTGACGGTAAATCAGCTATAGAAATGGCCCTGAATCCTGTGCATCATGATAGGACAAAACATGTTGAAATTGACAGACACTTCATAACGGAAAAAATTGAAGGAGGTATAATTGACTTATCTCACATTCGAACCAAAAATCAAGTGGCAGATTTGTTCACCAAGCTATTACCCAGAGACTCATTCGAAGGATTGAGGAGCAAGCTGGGAATGATTGACATCTACTCACCAGCTTGAGGGGGAGTGTTGGAAGACAAAGCCGAGGCCCAATAAGCTGTGTTTTATTTATTTCAGTCTGTTTTATTTATTTCAGTCTTTGTATTTTTTAGTTTATTAATCTGATTAGGATTACTAGCCTGATTAGGATAGATCCTTTTTGGTTTTATCGTTTATCCTAGATTTACCCCAGATTATCTTAGCTGGTTATATATTGTACCTCATTACTTCAAAAATTATTGAATAAAGCAGATTCATTCTCGCCCTATTTACTCAGTCCTCAAGGTCAATGCTTTGATTGTTGAATATTGCATCTCATCTATTTTCTCAATGTGAATAAAATTTACTCATTCTATTCATGAATCCAGATGAATTATTGCATTTTGTGATGATGGTGAATGTTTTGTTTTCCTCCTGTCACATTTTTATTTTGATTAAAAAATGAATCTTGTAGTTTGTGATTGACCTTTATGAAACTTCAAATTCTTTCAGGTTATTTTTTCTATACTGTTAACAGTTCTGCTTCTGTTTTGCAGGTTAATAATATCTCAAGCAGTGCCAAACCTGTCATTATGGATGATCGGTTGAGAGTGTTTTCCGAAGTTGTTCAAAGATCCTATTGTTCCATATGTATGGCTTGGCTGGAAAAGGAGTTTTCCCTTGGAAAAAGCATTGCTGAAAAGGTATTTCTGGGGAGTAAATGCGTCACTTGACACACATCCTTTTGGCCATTACTTTTGAATAAAATGCTGATTTTACACTTGTTTGATTCGTTCTCGTTCCTAGAAACTTGCTTCTTTGATACTTGAAAAAGTAAAAGGAGACAGCATTATTGTGCAAAGCATAAAAAAATCTGGGAAGATGGATCTTTATGCAGAATTACTGTGCTATCTTACTTATGGTTCTTTCAGGTGAGATTATCAAGTTTTCTAATTTTTGCTAGGATCATATTTTTCATCTTTGCTTGATTGTACTGCTTCTTGATTCATGAACTAGTTTATTGTAATTTCATTATATGCCATGAAATAGAAATGCTTCACAGGAACATATCATGTTTACCCCACATCATAGAAATGCTGTGTCTCTAGGATCTTCTGGTTTTAACTAAAGTGAGTCCTACGCATGTGTATTTGCACGGAATCTGAGATAAGCTATATTGTTCATGGCTTATGAATCATGTGATTTCCGGCAACTTTTATAGATATATTGACCTTGACAGCTTTCTAATGCAAATAGTCAATACTCCAACTAAATTAACATCAGTTTAGATGAGTAGTCAAGGGACATGCAACTTGTAAATTAGCTTTCTTATGAATTATTTGGTCCATGCATTTGGGCTTCTGTCTACATTGTTTTTTGTTTTACTTTTGTCCTTGCCACTGTGGTTTTCCATGAAAACATAAAAAACAAAACGCAGCAAGGGGTCAATGACGGGTAGTTTTGTAGTTTTACTTATATTGGAGTATATGGTTTACTAGAGTGAAATGACATTGATTAAGACTTTTTTCCCCTGCATAAGAATGCTTTTTTTGTAGTAAATGCCAGATACAGGTGCCATAGCATGTTTTCCGAGTGCCTAGCAGTAACGTGTTTAGGCTTGCTAAGGAAGGGAAACCTCTTCACTTTAGTGATGATTGTGCCTGGAAGTGCAACTAACCATCATGTTTGTTTTGGGCGTATTCTATGATGTCATGCCAGACTTTTTGAATTTAAAATTGATTATCTTGTGTCTAATCTTTGACATGGGATGTTTGCCAGTCACCCTTCATCATTTTTATATTGTTTTTTAATATTTATCAGGGAGGATTTTTGCTTTGATTCCTCTTTATTTGCTTTGCATGGGATTTCTATATTGGAGGATCTGGTGATAACGTTAGCAGATGGGGTTGCCACCTTGTATTTGGAGTTCATTTCTGTTGATGGTGACATGTCAAGTGAAACAAATAGGTTAGACTTGTCGTTATGTGCTTTTTCCACCAGAGAACTCCAAAAATTACGGAATGAGGTACTTTCTTAGTGTACTTTTTTCTAGTTTCATGCTTGGGGTAGGGATTAATCGTGTGTTAGTTTCTAACAGTATATTACTATTTTCATCTTCTATTTGATGATTTTAGTCGTTCATCACCCAAAAAAAAAAATGCAATTTGAATGTATGGAGAACGTGGATCAGTCAACATATAAAGAAAATAAAATTTTTTCTAGACGTTGTTAACTGTATTGTCCCCCCCCTCCCAAAAAAAAGAGTTCTTTTTCTCCTGTAAGAATTCAGTGCAGACTCCTTTTAGCTGAATGTTTTAGATTTTAGTCCTCTGGAGTGGTTATTTTCTTATAAACTGTGTTTTTCAATTGTAATTATTTTGGGTCTCAAATTATGGTTTGGGAACCATTGTGTAAAATTCTTTGCTTGAATGAGCTGAGTTGGTTTCCCCTTTTTCCTTGATATTTTATGGTCACAATCTTTGGCTGTCATTTAGGTATGCGCTAGTACTCACGAACAAATTTTAATCATATTGCTGGATGCCATATAATGTTTTTGTTCATTGTGCTGACCAATCAGAATGGCATTTTTGAAATCGGGCTATTTTGAGATATGGGTTCAATTTTCTAAGATGTTATGGATTATTTTTTCTGCATGCACTTTTCATTTTGTAAATATGATGCCTTTGTATATCTTCATGCACTTTTCAAAAGAGCTATGCTGTGCATTACTTTAACAAATCAATGTGAGGAAAATTGATATATTAAACTATCCAGGTCGGTATGCCTATTGTTTTCTAAACCCTCATGATCGAGAACAGATTATTAATTCAATGCATTATTTTCTTCCCACCTAAGCAGAACTTTCTTTTGACATTATTTTCCTGGATTGTGATGAAAAATGTAAATTGCACCAGTTTTGATCAAAATAATTTTATTGCTCTTTTGTTTTTTGTTCAGTCCCAAATGATGTTGAGATCTGTGAGATTTTAATTCTTGGAACTAAATCTTAATTGAGTCAGTTATATGCTTGCAAACTGAATGGGTTTCTTGTACTATTTTAAGATATACTAATTTCTTTATAGTTTATCTTTCTTTTCAAAATTTGTGTGAAATCTTAACAGGACTTTAAGAAATTCTCCTTCAGGTAGCCTTGAACCAGTGGCTGTACCACAACATGGACACAGTTGTGTCTATGTATGAGGATCGCTTTGACTTGTGCACTCTGGAGAGTCGACCCATTGATCTACCATGCAATAGTCAGACTGAAAATCAAGGCTGGTGGAAGAGGTTTACCCAGGGAAATGCGAATACTGCGTCAGCCAAATTACATTACATTGTGATAAGCAGTCTCCCCATAGTTGTAAAGCGAACTAAGGAATTGAGAGCCCTGACAGGATGGTATTTTTCTTCCACTCTTTATCTTCTTTCAAGCATGAAACTAAGTGCAATGACCTAATGAATTTACAATTCTTGCATGCTTTTTCAATATGTGCCTTATTTGAATCCTTGTATCCGCGGAATAATCATTTTACAATTCCTTTTTATTTGTGGCATACATACTAAAATAAACATTAATTTTTGGTAAAAACTTGCATGCACAATGATGGATACTGAAGTAGCATGTCATAACTGTTTCCGACTTATCCCAAAAAAAAAAAAAAAGAAAAAGAAAAAGTAGAATGTCCATACCTGAGTTCTAAATAAGATATGACATGCTCGCAAGGTATTTAAGCGGCTGGTTTTATCACCTCAGGTTTCCCACCTCACTTAGGTGCCTGTCAATCGTTATTGAAGTTTGTCAAGGAAATTGGGTGTAGCCATGGGGGTTCCCCCTTGTTTTGGGGGGGGGGGGGGGGTGTGTTTAATTTTACAAGATACCTAGATCATCAAGCAGTATGGGATGTCCTATAGCGTACTTTGGTAGCTGGTTCTAGCTTCTAGGGAAGTGTTTTCCATGTAATTTAAGTACCCATAAATTGGTCTCAAAGCTGGTGTTATGAGATGCTTAGGTAGTATGGAGATGCCTTAATCTTACATTGAGGAATATGAGATGCCTTACAGGCTATTTGAGTGACTGGGTTCTTCCACTTCTATAATCTCATCTCTCTTGCACTCATAGTTGTAAGGATTTGAAGAGAGGGGCTCAACATGACATTTTGTTTTCACTTTTGCTCCTTTGTTCGCAACAATAGTCACCATTTGTCATTAGGAGCTTCGTCGATGGGTTGCTTTGTTTACAAGATGGATTGTTGGTATGTTTTAGGAACTGCATTTATGATTGGAAATATGCATTGTGGCAGAGAAAAAAAAAGGTTGCAAATATGCTTTGTGTGCTTTATCTGCTTCTAAATAAGCAGGGAGCAGCACATGATCGCTCTCCTCTTTACTCTTTCAAGTATTGGCGCACTTTCCAATTGAAAATAGATCGATGGTTTTGGAAGTTGCATGGAGAAGGGAGCGGAAGGTAAGGGATCCGGGAAAAGATGAAGAGAAGGAAGAGGGATGATAGTTACCGTTTCCCTTGTTTGGAGGAACTTTCTCCACCAAAATCATTCGCTAGATTGCATGAACTTAAAATAAAGGAGGCACGACTTTGAAGAATTTGGGCTGGTTAAAAATCTTCATTTCGTCCATCTATTAATAACCTCCAAACTAAAAAAGGGACTTTATAAAACATCTCGTTTCTTTCCCTTCTCTCCCTCATTATTACCCATCCAAGCATACTTTCCGGGATGGGCAGTGGCGGGTGGAGGATTTTAAATAGTAGAGGCCTAAGATCACCTCTTGCACAAGAAGTACAATAAACATTTGATAAACAAAAGAAAAAACTTTGATTCAAAAGAAATACTTATACTCCAAGGTCTCATATCTTGTTATTTGATAATGCATTTATAGCTACAAAATAGAAGGGGAAGATGCTATTCGTGTTTGTTTTTTAACTTTGCCCTCATTCTTCATTATTATTTATGATGGTTTTCTGCTGTTGATCTGTGTCTTGCAGGCGATATTACTTCAGCCTTTTCCTTGAATTTTCTGACATCGCCATGCCTCTTATAAGAGCTATTGTTGATAAGTGAGTGAGGCTATCTCTTTCTTTTTGGTTTGCTTGATTGGAAGGTCTTTAGGACTCATTTACACTGGCATTAGGCAGTCCCTCAAGTGGAAGTGAGATAAATGGTACAGTTTTTTGCAGTGCCATTATATCTCTATCATTTTAGTATTGTTATCTCTTGTTCCTATTTATTTTGGCCGTTTAAGGGTTCCTGAGTTTGAACTGTTCTGTAATTTGAAAAAGCCAGTTCCACTAAATTTGAATTTGAGTTCAACTTGAAGTAATAGCAATTAGCATTAAATGTTAATGTTACTTGGTCCGTGTACCAATCTGAAATAGTCAACAAAGATAAATGTAATGTAGCGATGAAGATGACATGACATTACTATCAGGCCTAACATCCATCCTGCTTTAGTGAGGCGGTAGGTGCTGAAATATCTGTGGGAATTGTAACGTGTTCTCTTAAAACAGTCACAAAGATGGAAAGATACTCATCCCAGAAAAATTAATTCAATGCATCACCCTTTTTTTTGTAGCCGCCTCAGTGAGAAATATATGATATTATGATACGATCAACTATGCGTACAAGAAGAATAAACTAAATTTTCTTTTCTTTTTTTGGGCCAGAATCCCGCATTTAGGCGTCTAATGATAGTTTTACACAGTGGGGTTAGGTAATGGGGCACTCTATTTTTAGTTTCGACGAGACTACGAGTCCCGATTGAATTTTTGTACTTCATGGAATTTTTTTGGCAATGCTTACACTGATTAAGGGCCAGTTTAGAACAACTTATAAATAGCTTTTTAATAGTAATTTACGGAATACAAGATAATTATATGAGAGGAGTTTTGACTCGGCTTATATAAAACATGCTTATAGAGGATTTTTTTAAGTCCTCCCAAACAGGTCCTAAACCATGTCTTTTAATTTAGGTGATATATTTTGTGGCCGAAACAAATGGTTTGATGTTTTATTTTGATGCAGCGTAGCAAAAACAAATAAAAAAGGGATTGGTACTATGAAAATTTTGTATACAATAATTCCGGTAACTTAAGTCACTCTCACTAATAAAATTTTTAATGAAGATTTTCTCCTAATTTTACAGAATTCTTTTTCTTTTGTAGTCAGAAAATGTATCCATTATCATACTCAAGATGAAAGATAGTAACTGCATGACCGTATTCACAGACACCACACGCACCATATGCACATCAGTACAATTATAAAGATTCTATTAATGAATCCTTGAATCACTTGTAGCGATTCATATAAACAAAAGCAACATCATATGATTTATACACACAAAATATAATGCTAGCTTCACCCTCACACTTAATTAATTAACTAGGATATAAGTAACCAACGGGGGTTGGTCCAAGTGGTAAGCAGCCACTTGGTACGTTTAAGTGAGGTCTCAAGTCGAGCCAAAGTATGCAGAAATTCCTGATGGAAGACTCACCCACTACAAACCAGGTGCGCGACGCGGATCGGATCCAAGTTAGTCGGAGACAAAGCTCTGATGAACTGGATGGGCAACAAAAAAAACTAGGGATATAAGTAGCTAGTAGCCTCAGCAGTATAGTAAGAACACCAAAGAATAGAAAGAAAGATAACCTAGAGATCGAAAGAAGCCAAATGCAAATAAGCTCTGAGCATTGCTGAAATTTTGCTTCGTACAAGCCAACTGGTCCAGCTGCTAAAGCTATAACAAGGAACACCTTTTGTCCCCACCAAAAAACATCACTTCTTTCAATGATTTAACAACCTCAACTAGCCCTTCACTGCGGCCTCCTCCTTCAAGCTTCCGCATACATTCTCATCCATTCTCTTCACGGTTTTCCTCACCACCTCTGCCAAATCTTGCAGTCCGCCTCCCTTCCCACCAATGGAGGAGAAACAACTTGTTGCCATAAGATTACCTGTAAAACCGCGAGAACAAAATCACTCGTCTTGCATTAATAAAATTGAATGATCTCAGATATACTCAGTCACACTTAAATTGAAAGATACCTATGGAGTTTTCTGGCAAAGGGG